GAAAACCTTCCAATGTGGCTGAATTACAACAATTCTGCAAAGATGAGTGGACCAAAATGTCTGCACAGCGCTGTAACAGACTCATTGCAAGTTATTGCAAACGCTTGATTGCAGTTCTTGCTGCTAAGGGTGGCCCAACCAGTTATTAGGTTTAGGGGGCAAACACTTTTTCACATGGGGCCATGTGGGTTAAACCTTCCTTTAACTGCTAAATTAGGACCCCACCTGGAGCTCCTCCCACTGGACCATCGCTGACTCGCCAGGCTGAAGCCTAAGATAAGGGGATTCCTGGGGGGTGGGGTGTTTCAAGTACAGCTAGCATTAAGCCCTGCCCCTCTAACCTGACTGTTTTTTCAATATTATGAATGAACAGTCAATGTTACAGGGGCTGATTTGTACTGAAACAAAGTGACCCTAAACTCAGGTGTTAGTGCTTATAAATGCATTCAAGTACCCTAACTGGCTAATTTATAACACACACAGGAACCAGGGAAGCAAACTAAAGCTGCCCACACACATTACAATTATCTGCAGATTTTCTGTGGTCAGATGGAAAAGGTGCAACAGATTCCTCCATCTACACTTAAATGTGTGGATGGAGTAATCTCCACCTGGACCAATCTGTGTCACTTTTTCCATCTGACCACAGAAAAGCTGCAGATAATTGTAAGGTGTATGGGCACCTTATAGCCACCCTCCAGAAGGAAGGACAGTGTCCCACCACTTCAGAGATGATTTGAGGATCTACTGCTGAGTGTTTGTGCACAAATAAGAACCGTTTATATTAGTAGTTAGGGTCCTTGAATGCATTTTTAAGCTTTAACTCCTGAGTTTGTTACTTTTGAGGTCTTTTTGAAAGGCAAAGAATAGAATTTTTAAAAAGGGAAACATACAGTTTATGTATTTCAACTATGTATTTTTATTTGTATTTAGTGGTTCGCTTGGAGTTTCACTTTAAAGCCTTCTTTGACAAAAAGTATATTGGATCATGCCCATAATTTATATCAAACAGATGGATAAGATACTTCCTAAGATATAGGTCCTCTTTAAAAACAACATCATATGTTTTAAATACACTGGCGTTCTTCTCTTGGTTTTGGCGTTACTTCAGAACATTGAACCTGTACTGGCAAATTGGAAAATGTATAAATGAATTTAACCTCTTGGTCTCTTTTTGACAGATTGGCAGAATAATTCAGCAAACAAGCTTTGAGGCAACAAACGCTGCTGACAGTAAAACACCAAGCTAGAGCTGAAACTGGATTTTACTCCAGAGCCAACTATAACCTGCAAGTTTTTATCTATACCATAACAAATGATGTTTGCATCGGCGAAGACACAAGCCGCCTAGTTCTCTGGAGTATTACCGTTGACATCGGACTGTTGACACAGCTCATCATGTTAGAGGATAACTAAATCTGTTTTCTCCTGTATTGGACTTTTGGTTGACTTGTTCTGTGGAGGAAAGTCGCTTGTATTAATATAAATACAGAACAGAGCGCTGACTTCTGTAAAGTGATCAAATAGATCGAACATCAAAGCAAATTGACGTATGCATTCTGATTGAACAGGACTAAATCAAAAGAAGCTTATTTCATTTTTATTTTTTTTACCATGATTCTATACCCAGCCAGAAAAAGATAGACATAACAGTCCAACAACCCCTAAAGGGCCAGTGTTGAATTATTTATAAGTGGAAGGTTAACTATACATTTTATGTTCTATGGCATTGTTATTTTTAGAATATGGACTGTTTAAAAGTTTTTAGTTGTGTGTATTGGTGCACTTCAGACCCTTCAGTGGTGCAAATGTTCATAGCAAAACCTTACACAAATAGCAACATGAATGGTTGTGATCAGAGTTCAAGCCTGACATTTTAGACAGTGCTACATTGGTGAGTCTCAATCACAGTACTTAAGACTGAAAATTGCTGCTACTCTTCCTTGATATCTGATATAAATCTAGATCCATGTAACTGCCATACTGGTTGCTAAGATTTTTACTCTTGTTTCAGATGCTGCGGGAAAGTAGCAGTGGTTTAAGGTAGCCCAACTGAGAACACTGAGAATATGTGAAGGCAGGCCACAAAAAATATATATAATTATATGGAAGAAAAACTAAAATAGGCACTGTTTATGCTAACTGCCATGTTCTCTTAATCTGTTGAATCTGACAGTCTGTGTGGTATTGGATCTAACGAGCATTTATTTTAACTCAAAGCTGTTTTTAACTTGAAGTACCTAACCTGTAATCCTACATGGAAAGCTGGCACTGTAGCTGCTTATATGTTCGTATGCCTTCCTGAGTGGCCCAGGAGCTGCCTTCCAACTTCTTTGACTTATTTGGTAATTGAGGGCATCCATCACCTTGATGGACCAATGGGGAAATGTGGGATGGAGTTGAGCTTGACTTTTCTTGCAGTTGAGTTGTGTTTTGCATACAAAATAGAACTCCAGTAGCTGTATGAAGGTATGCGGTGCCAGCTTTTTATAAGTGATGATGATTTATAAGTGGTGCTTTGATTTACTGACTGGTTAGGATTGCGGAAAAGTTGATTTAATATTTGCCTACTTTGTTTTTATTCAAGAGAAATAGCAAAATGTAATGTGCAGTATTCCATAGAAACGTAATAGCAATCATCTATGTGGAAACAAGTGGTGAAAAGTGATTGGCAGGTTCTTGCTTGGGATTAAAGGAGAACTATGGGGTTAAGTATTTTCCCCATAGTTCTACTTAGGGTAACGGGAGGACACAAACTAGTGTCCTCCCGTCACCCTAGGCTCAGTATACAGCGAGCTGTATACTGAGCCGACCTGTGACAGTCTCATTGTCACAGGTCGGCTAGAACTATGAGGTGAGTGAAAAGCACTCACCTCATAATTCTCCTTTAAGAACTTTTGTGATGTTTTACTAAGCCAATACAGGTTAAGAACATGGCATAAACAATAATTGTATCTAGTAATCAACAGCAATATATCTGAATGTGAAGATCATTAGCCGAGCTAACATCTGGATTGTGTGGTATCATACTGCACTGTTAATAAATAAACCAGTCTGTGTTGTATTTTTATTTTTTTAAATCAAGCAAATCCATGATAATGATGGATGGATAACGTGAGAGAAGCTCATAAAGTGTATATTAATAATAGGCTATTCAAATGTCTTAAAAACCATAACTGCAGGTTCCGCCCCTAACATGGGACTCCACTGGAATCATTTAAAGGTACACCCTCTACGGATATATCCGCTACAGCTAGATGTTGTATGCCATATCCCTCACTCTATGCAATTTTTGCAAATTGTTTTATGTAAACCTGTTAGTTGCTCACCTGGATATATGACAGTACTTCCTGTTGCAGGCTGACACTCCTTTGAACATCCAATGTTCTGTATGAGCTCCTTCATTTGGTACTTGGGAGCATCTAAGAGTCCATAATCTTTTAATCATAAACAGCCAAATGACACCTAACAGCCAATGTATTTTGGGATCAAACCACTTCCCGTTTATCAGGGCTTAAGGTCAAGTCAGAACCTTAAATGGACTCAAATGCAGGCATCATTATATAGATCTATGTGGATTAAAAGTAATATCATAGGATTAGGAAGCAAGATATTCCAGCATTGGTTGCAATAGCATTAGTGAATGGCCAATTAAACGAGTGCATACAGCTGCTAGTCAGCCTGCAAAAGATAATGCTGTTATTGCAGGAGCTCCCGCTAAGAAACGCAATAGAGTCACAACATACATTTTCTTTAAAAAAAACTGTATACAGTGAGGCATGATGCCAAACATACTGAAACATAGATGTACACTTTAAGCCTGTTGCTGATTTGGCCCACCAGAATCTACCAAAAACAAAACATTGTGTGAACTGACCCTTTAAGAGCTAGAACTCCAGCCTAAACCTTTTTAGTTTTGGATGGAGTGGGAGATGGATTTCCTCCCACAAGAGTACTTCTTCCAGGTCAGGAAGTGAAGGAAAACATCTTTGAAAACCTGACAGAGGTTCAAACCTTTTGCCACACAGTCTAAAATAAATGTTATGGTCTAGATCAGGAGTAGGCAACCTTAGCACTCCAGCTGTTGTGAAACTACAATTCCCATGAGGCATTGCAAGACTGACAGGCTCCGGCATGACAACCAATGGCAGTGGCAATATGAGATTTGTAGTTTCACCACAGCTGGAGTGCCCAGGTTACCTACTCCTGTTCTAGATAAACATTTGCCAATGCAATCAATAATTACAAGCTTAATAAACTAATACACAAAACTGCCATAAAAGGTCTATTCGCTTTACTAAGAAAGTCCTAAATCTTATATCGCTAGGTGTTTCCAATAAAGTACAGGTCTTCCCTTCCTGTTTAAAAATGAATATTGAATAGTACACTAATCCCCAAAGATAATTCACTGCCAAATAGGAAATTTAATTTGCCAATGAAACTATAAATGAATACTTCATAAAATAGGACTAATTGGCTAGAAAACTGAGAAACAGGTACGGGAGACAGTTCAATAGGTTTAACCAGCAGAACATGACAGTAAATGATGTCACTGCCCATTAGGTTCATGTATAGATCTAATATAATGAGAATGTAAGCTGTATAAAGATGAAGTGCCATAAGATGTACATGTCATTTTGTTTCTGTAAGCCGGTTACTTCATTAAGTTGTACATAGTCTATTTGTTTATATCATTTGATGAAGTCACAGCGTATTTACCTCAATCAAGGAAAAATCCAGGTAGATAATGCAAATCTTTGGTAGCAGTTTAAATGGGCTTTTCAGGGTAAAAATCACACCTGCAAGAGAACACTGTGTAATAATACAAAAAGTCACCCTCTCCACTACCTGCCCTGTGTGTCAGGATCAAATGTTGACCACAGCACCACCACTGTTGATGAGTATTGATGGCAAAAGTTGAGCTTTATGTTGCCACTTGTTCCAAACCGCAATATGACTGAGGGACCATTCACACCAAAATCTGACCAAAACAAAAGTCAACGGCGGTCTGTTGATTTGCAATTTCAACCTCCCATCGACTTTCATTGTGTTCCTTTCCATTGTTTTTTTTTGCCAATCTTTAATTTAATTAACGTGTATGTATTTTTTTTTTTTTTTAGTTCCATTCTGATTACATCCATTTTTCGCATTACATTGCATTGCACGGAAAAAAAGTAGAGCATACAACGGTGCGGTTTAAACTGGTTCCATTCACACCCATAGGCATGGGTTATTCATTTTTCAGGTTGCCTTCCATTTGCATCCGTTGACATCCATTGAAAAACGGATGCTAACGGATTTGGTGTGAACGGGCCCTAAGGCTGTGCCATTGCATACATGGTGGTAATTGGATGTAACGGCTCCCTAGCAGGTGTTGAATTTTAGTTTAACTCATTAGTGTTTATTCAAAACACAATGTACTATTAGGGATGCCAAAACATTGTGGTCAAAAATTGTACTTTTGGCAAAATGCCGAAAGGACCATTTTCTGGCCAAAATTGCGGCGCATCCCGGGTTTCTCTCCTTCTTGCTGGGTGCTGCTCTTTGTCCGCTCTGAGACAGTGCAGATTCCAGCAGGGAGGAGAGAAACCTTCAGGCGGCTGAGCGGGGCAGGGAGGAGAGCGCTGTCAGTGTGTCACATAAGGCTAAAATCTCCTCATGCACCATCCCACTTGGCCTCCTCTGCCAGGCAGATCAAGATGGAGAGCGGCGTGGGGGAGGAGACAGCTGTCACAGGAGATGGGGCCGGCCCGCTTAGTCTCCTGTGACAGCCGAAGGAGTCAGGATGGAGAGCGGCTTACAAGTGCTCAGCGATCAGAACTGATCTCTGAGTGTTTGTAAATAATTGAGGGCATAGTATGTTTACTATCCCTAGTTATAAATTAATATCACTTCCTGTTTATTCATAAGTATGAGTTACTATGTCCACAGTTTGAGTGGACAGGAGCACACAGGATAGAGGATTCCTGTTCATTCCTAACTGGGCTGCAGAAAAAGAGAATGAGGACTCTGTGTACTCAACCTCATTTTCGATTTCAAAAGGGAAATATCAGGGCTCTGTTTAAACCCCTGATATGTCCCCAAAGCCCCCGACATTAAAGTAAAAAAAAAAATAGAATATTGAAAAAAATGTTTAATTTCGGCCTGTCATTTTTTTTATTCGGTTTTCAGTCTGAAAATTCCATTTTGGTGAACCTTTAGTACATATATACTGTACATATGGATGTAATCAATGCTCACTACAGTGTAGCACATCCATTCATAAAGCAGCAGGTGTATCACTAAGGCACACCATGTCCCTGGTTCATAACGAACATTATAAAGAACTTTAAAGTGAACCTGTAACAAATTTTCTTGATATCCATTTACTATGGCACCCCACAGAGGTGCCTATATGTACCGTTACTTCTCTGAAATATTGGCTCTGTATCAGCAGGACCTTCAATCGTGCATTGTATACTCCAGAATCTCCTAAATCTTGATTGAGTTAAGAAATGTGCCTCATCCCCTCCTCTGTGAT